AGAGGAGAGAGTCAGGAAGCTGAGTCAAGAGGTGAAATGGACTAAAAGAGACTAGAGAAGGCATTTACTTTGGAGATTAAATGGGGAGGGGGAGAAATAAGAGTAAAGACTGTTTTCTCCATACCCTGGAGTAGGCCCCCCATTGTCCAGGTTGAAAACTTGTTTGGGGTTGAGCAGATAGTGGAATTTCCGAAGAATTCTATGGAAAAAAAGAAGGGGGGAGAGAGAGAGACAGAGAGATAGAGAAGGAAAAACGTCATTGTGAGAAGTCACATTGGGGCCAACACCTCGGAGCCCATCCGTGGGGAGTGTGAGGGCTCACTTAGACCCGAGAGGGAGAACCCTGCCCTCAGACCCTCACGCCTGGGTCCACCGGCATCACCCACATCCTACCCCCTGGTTCAAGGGTGCCTCGCCATCTGGGACTCATCCTCAACCCCAGGAGCCCCACTCCTTGTAGGGAGGACAGTCCAGGGGCCCTAAAGAACAGAACTTGAATTCTTAGGCTTCTTTTCCACACAGGACTTCTCTTCCATGCTCTGCACGCCCCAGGCAGTGCGACCCTCCCTGCGTGGACTGTACACGGTATCAAAGGACCCAACACGAGGCCCTCTGCGGTCCTGAGCTCAGGTCACGGGGCTGGGCGGGGAGGGCTGAGAGGCAGTGACTACATCCACTTCGAGGTCCCAGCCTGACACTGATCACACTGCAGGAAGGCATCCCGACCCGGCTGGGGTGGGGCCTCGCCGTCCCTGCTCTGACCCTACTTACTATGGCTTTGTTCCCACCTGGATTCCAGACCACGGTGCCACCCGTCCATTGCCCCAGAATGTACAGGCAGAAGCCCATTCCCCCACTCTCCTCCCGCTCCGGTCAGTGCCCAGCAAACGGGGCATTTCTGATGAGGTGGATGTCAGGTTTTAGTCGAGCGAGTCCCACACATTTTTTACATCCAGAAGACTTGGGAAGCTAGGAAGGCACAGGTTTCTCAGACCCTGGTCTGATCCTGGGATCCTTAAGAATAACTCATGTGGGGGCCAGCAGGTGGTGTGGCGGTTAAGGCGCTGGACTCCCACATGGCCGACCACAGTTTGAGTCCTGTACCTGGCAGCTTGAAACTCATGCTTGGCATGTGTGTGTGCCTGCCTAAAATTTCAGGAGGAAAATGTAGGAGAAAGGATTGTGGTGTGGCTAACCGTCCTGGGTCCTGGTGGTGATTTCTCATTTTTCTACTCACTGTCTCTGTCTCTATCTCTCTGGCAAGTGTCTGTGCCCATTGACAAAAACCTTAAAAAAAAAAAAAAAAGCTCATGTGACAGGCCCTGGGCTAAGTACCATATCTATTTTCAAAATAACCCCATGAGAAGAGAGACTGTTATCATCTCGTCTCCATTTCAGAGAGGAGGAAGCCGAGGCACGGCCATTAGGTCGCTTGGCCCAGTGGTAAGTGGCAGTGCCCAGGTCTGCCTGTCTCCACCTTCCAATCTGTGAGGGCCGAGGGGAGAAAGGGGCCCCAGGGAGGCTGTCCTAGCCTCTCCACTCTGAACAAGAAGAGAACATACCTTTCTCCCTGTCTCCCTCCACTCTTGGGGTTCACCAAGACCAACAGCGGGTGGGTACCCGGGGTGGGGATGATCTTATACTTAAAAGAAAAAAGAAAAAGCAGTTAGGTCTGCTCCTGCA